GTAACGGCTTATTAGTCGGGTGCATATTGTGTGAAGGTTTATTAGTCGGGAGAGAGAGAAAAACATGGAGAGGAAGAAGGTTATAAACACTGATAGAAAACATGCATACTTCAGGCAATATATAGTTGTCGACAGGGTTCGTCCCTGAGTCCACTCAGCTTTAATCGGTCCCTGACTTGATCGGAGGAAAGTGAATCCGCTGGACATAGTTCTGATAACAATAATTTAAAAGTCCGGTGTCAAGGAATCAGATGAGCTCTACTTCGCCTGCCTTGTGTATGTGTACTTCGCTTTCTAATTTGCCGACACAGTTGAATGATCAAGAAGAGAATCTCGAGAGTTGCTTGACTCACGAAACCTACAGCTCACCCTGACCGAATGGCATGAGTGGTATAGAACTCATCGCAATAGCCATTCATATTCCGTTTAGGAGCTGATGGCCCTTATGAAGTCTTTCTTTCCAAGATAGCCTGTATGGTTCATGAAGTCTTTTATTCCTCAGGTATCCGGCAAGGCTGATTAAGTCTTTCTTTCCAAGATAGCCTGTATGGTTCATGAAGTCTTTTATTCCTCAGGTATCCGGCAAGGCTGATTAAGTCTTTCTTTCCAAGATAGCCTGTATGGTTCATGAAGTCTTTTATTCCTCAGGTATCCGGCAAGGCTGATTAAGTCTTTCTTTCCAAGATAGCCTGTATGGTTCATGAAGTCTTTTATTCCTCAGGTAGCCGACAAGGCTGATTAAGTCTTTCTTACCAAGATGGTCCGAATGGCACACGATTTTTTTCTTCCCAAGAAGCACTTCAACGCCATCCTATCCCGATCGTACCCAAGACACAAGAGGTAGATGAAGTAGAGTTAGGTACGGATCAGAGCTGGGTGGACTCAGGGACATGTTACTGACTTTAATAGCTCATAAATTATTTTTTCCAAAGATGGCCCGTATATCGCATAAATTCTTACTTCGCCAAATGGCAAAATGGCTCATAAAATTTAGGTTGCTGAAATGGCCCATACATTCAATGCCCTAGCGTCTGGTACCCCATAGGTTACAACCCACCGTCCCCCGGGCTCTACCCATTCGTGAACTACACGTAATTAGATTTTTTCTAACCTCAGTGATTGTATGGTCAGTTCACCGTCCAGTCGCCTTTATTTTCCCTAACGTAGTTCAGGTACTGATTAGAGCTGAGTTTACTCATTGAAATTTTACGCCGAGATTCGAACTCCAAACTTTTTGGCTAGCAGTCGTGCACTATACCTTGTCTCTTGCATCCATTATGTAGGGCAAATGCATTTTCACTCGTCTGCTAGACTCACCCCCATTTTCTACGCCACGTTTAAACAGAAATTGTCGAAACGGGAGGTGAAAATTTCTTTTACAGCAGGGAAGTAACTCACTAGACATCTTGTTTACATTGGAAAGGGGAGGCGACTGCGTGCGGCAGTTAATGCTGCAGTTTTTCTGTGAAATGGCATCTGGACGATGTATTGAGATTTAAAGGTAAACAGTGACATGGAGGTAGGAGAAGTGTGTGTGGGGGTGGGGGGGGGGGGACTATGGAGACGGGGAGGTAAAGTTTAAATGCTGTTTTAAGCAAGGGAGGTTATGAGATAAAGTTTAACTACGGTTAAACAAGAGACGTAAGGAGGGAAAGTAAAAGAGGTATTGGAGGTTAAACGATGAAGATAAGAGAAAGTTAAACTAGAGACGTATTGGAGGGAGAGTTAAACGATAAAGGCAAGAGAAAGTTAAACCAGGGAAATGCTGGAAGGGGGGGTTAAAGAAGAGAAAGTTAAACCAAGGTAACACTTTACTAATAACAAAAAAAGGTAACAAAAAAGATGAACTGTCGACAATGTATGTGTATCGCCTACGTCTTCGTTCTTATCGCTGGGGGATTTCCTTCAGCATAAAAATGTTAAGCGCCATATGGCTTCAGACTGCTATTTCTTCCTGGATGTGCTACCACTGCTTTTGTTTCATCCGAGATTAATTTGTTATGCAGTATTTGTTTGATTTTTTTTTTTTTTGGAGTTTTTTTACAAGCCTCATCTGCCCGGGGTTTCGAACTCGCGATTATCCGATTAGCAATCTTGCAGTCTCCACTCTAATCCCAACATCAAAGCTGACCAAAACGCTAAACCTACATCTAGGCCTTACACTAACCCTTGCTCCGACCCGGACCCTAACACAGACCCTGACCTAACCCTAACCCTACCTAAACCTAAACCTAAACTTAAACCTAAACCTAAGCCTGAACCTGAACCTAGCCCTAGCCCTAGCCCTAGCCCTAGCCCTAGCCCTAGCCCTAGCCCTAGCCCTAGCCCTAGCCCTAGCCCTAGCCCTAGCCCTAGCCCTAGCCCTAGCCCGAACACGAACACGAACACGAACACGAACACGAACACGAACACGAACACGAACACTAACACTAACACTAACACTAACACTAACACTAACACTAACACTAGCACTAACACTAACACAAACACTAACACTAAAACTAACTCTAACACAAACACAAACACTAACACTAACACTAACACTAACACTAACACTAACACTAACACTAACACTAACACTAACACTAACACTAACACTAACACTAACACTAACACTAACTCTATTCCTAAAACTATCCTCAACTTATCATTAAATTGGCGGGGGGTAATTGACGAGGAGGTAATTAACAGGGTGGTAATTACTCCGGGGGTTAATGGGAGGGGGAGTGTCCGAGGGATAATTGACGGGGTCAATGTCCTGCTCCCTTATAGTTCCATTATCGTGTCTTGCAATTCACTTCTTTAAAACTCAAAAACAAATGAAGCTCATTAAAAATGCCATAAAACCTAATCACAACCATGCTAATTAATCCAACATGGGCACATGCTAACTTAAGTGTCTACGTGGTTTTAAGTGTGTACGTTCTAATTACCAGCTAATTAGATCTATACCACGAGCTCTGGCATGATTTGATGGATCCCAACTTGAACTAGGCGGAATGTAAAACTTTTTTGGTGCGTACCAATATGTAAACAGCACAACGACGGTAGCACGAGGGGGATAAGGTAAGGGATGGGATTAGGGTTAGGGTTAGGGTTCGGGTTGGGGATATGGATAGGGTTAGTGTTAGCGTTGGTGTTCAGGTAAGGTTAAGGTTTAGGGTTAGGGTTAGGGTTAGGGTTAGGGTTTGGGTTAGAGTCAGTGTTAGGATTAGGATTAGGATTAGGATTAGGATTAGGATTAGGATTAGGATTAGGATTAGGGTTCGGGTTCGGGTTAGGGTTAGGGTTAGGGTTAGGGTTAGGGTTAGGGTTAGGGTTAGGGTTAGAGTCAGTGTTAGGATTAGGGTTAGGTTTAGGTCTAGGGCTAGGGCTAGGGTTAAGGATGGGGTTATGATTATGATTTTTGTTAGGGTTAGGGCTATGAGTAAGGTTAGGGCTAGGATTGTATAATAATTGCAACAGATGCTAATGGTATCCATATACGTGACCATTTTTATTTAAGTAAACATATAGCTTTCAATGATGGGAGCACGCCTAACTAGGACCGAGATTATAGAAACATGATCGCTCTACTTCACCTCTTCTAGTGCCCCGTCAGGTTCTGAGAGGTGCGTGCCTTACTTTTTACAGCTTTAACAAAATTTTATAGTAAAGAATCCTCTCTAGCTTTAGCGATCCATTTGGCAGAGTTTATGTTTCATGACCCCAGCCTATGAAGAAAGATGTGGTCAGCACTATGCCCATTCACCTTAACTTTCCCTAACATGAGTTAGGTACCCATCAGAGCTGGGCGGACTCACGGACGTTCAACTGTTGAACTCGTATTTGAACACGCGACTTTCGGGTTAGCAGCCTAGCGCTCTACCGCCGTCCCATATAACACTATTTTAAGCCCCACAAAAATAAGAGTGTACACCCCCGCTCTTCCCTTTAAAAAATCCGCCCCTGCAGAAAACACGTTTTTCCTATTTATTCCCTTAACACCCAGGTACAAGACAAGACCCACCAACTGCTGATCCCTAGCAGACGATGACAATGGTAGAGAACAACATCAGCTAATGGGCGAAACAAAGTGTGTTTTGTCTAAAGCTTGTCTTTGTTTTAAACTTTTTTTTTTAAATAAAGGAAAGCGTTTAAAACGTTGGGAATAATCTTAATACAAATCTTAATGAACTCCAGGAAGGGTGGAAAAGTTGTTTTGTGTTATCAGGTTTGTTTGTCTGTGTTTGAGGTTCTCAAACTATTGCATTCTGGGGATCAGGGTTTAAGAGTATTGTTCGTAGTATGAGTGTGAATAGAGTTTGTGAGAAATATAAGGTATTTTTTTTTATTTCAAGGAGTTTATTGAAGATATTGCAGGCCGGATATGGGCCGCAGAAAGACGATATGCGAACTGAAAACTTAATTAATCACTTGTTTTTCTTATTCCATTAGAAATGGGGTTCATTTTTCGTTGCAGTTTCGAGCACTGTAATTGCTTTGTTGGATTTTTTTTACGCAACGGAATAATCTTAATGAAAATCTACGATACTAACGCTCTGTTAATCTTTTGATATTACACCTTGAAAATTAAAAAAAATTACAGTTCTATGTACACATATGTAAATATCATCAGGTAGAAATATTGTATATTGGGAATGTGGTTTTACATTAACCAACGACAATGGTAAATTTGTGTGAAGAAACAAAACATAAGTTAATGGAGAAATAATGAGTTTTGGCAAAGATAAAGTGATTTGTTTTAAAATTATTTAACACTTCGAATAAAGACTTCCTTTAGAACAATCAATGAACTCATATCCAGTTCTGGTTAGGAGCTAAAAGAGGCTGGCTTTAAGATAACAATCAAAGCTAAAAAGAACATTTTTGGAATACATTTGTGTAAATGACTACATAACTGTAAGTATTCAACATTCGTAAATTTAATCAGAGATTTTAAAAGATTTTGAGATGCTGGGAAAAAAATGAAAAAAAAAATTAAAAAATTGAGTACTTACGAGTTGGCATTGGTTTCGGTATGGTGCTCGTCTCCAAATCGTTGCCCACGGTGATTTCGTTCGGCGGGTATACAATCCGCTGTTCGAGATTATCCACGTACTTGGTCAGGTTCGCCACGGCCCCGCTGATACGGTTCAACTGCTTGGAGATCTTGGTGTAGTCCTTCTGGGTGTTGTTCAAATCCTCCAAGACGCTCTCCATGTTGGTGGTCAACACCCGAAGGGTGTTCTTCGTCTCGGCCACGTCCCCGCTCAGCCGGAGCAAGGCGTCGCGCATGCGTGCGGCCTCCGTGTCTTTTTTCTCGTGGAGGGGCGTGGCCAGGTAGACGTCCCGGAATTCTTTGAGCTTGGTGTCGATCATCTTGTCGACCTCCGTCATGTAGCGCTGGACGCACTTGCAGCCCCGGCGTTTCTTTCGGGATTTACCTTTGTTGGCTGCGTCTTCCTTGCTCTCTGTAGAGTTATCCGTCTCGACAGACAGACCCACGCATATCGAAATCACCAACGCAACTTTTAACAAATTCCTGATTCTGAAGAACATTGTGATTTTTTTTGTTTTTAATCCAAACCAAAATTGAAATTAAAAATTATGTAGTAAATTCTAAAACTCGAAAGTATATAAATTCCGGGAGTGAACTAGCAAAAATCCCATTGAATGTAATCCAAAGTTTCTCAAAACACAATCCACACAAGTAGTATATCCAGAAGAAGTATATCCAAGTTTTACACTTTTAGAATGTCCTAACTAACAAGCATAAACACACATTTACTTGGTTTATATAAATAGAAATGTATTATCCAATCAGGAAAACAACGATGATTGAAGAAATATCATACAGAGAAATATCTTAATGATGGCTAAAATATCTGTGGAAGATAGAAAATATTCGTATTTTCAGACAAGAATATTAAAGTGCTGTTTGTTAAAATATATTAAAGGAAAAGAAAACCATTAACTTTTTAAAAAAAACATCAAAAGCATTGTATGCATTAATAAATCAATAACAACGAACAAATGTGGCTTGTCGTAAATCGATTTATATTTTACGCCAGACAGATGTAATTTAGTTTATATAGTTTTTATCTTATATTAAAATATAAAGAATATGGCAAAATAAAAAAAAATCGCTGTTGTATTTGTGGTACTGTTAAGTTTGTTTTTCATCCTAAGTGCTGAAGCTTTTTTCCAACACAGAATCAGTAAACTAGCTCGAAAATCAGTTTTTTTTCCTCAAGTCGAACTTAGGGGTAATTAAAAAAAAAAAGCTTTAGCACGAGTGGGGTTCGAACCCACGCGGAAATAATTCCATTGGATCTTAAGTCCAACGCCTTAACCACTCGGCCATCGTGCTTCCTATCAAAACCCTATTCTTTTTTATTAAATTGCTATAAAACCGGTTGCATAGTAAAGTCAGGTAAATCGTACATTTAAGAAAATCTTCCAAAAGTAACATTTCTTTTAGGTTAAATGTATACTTTAAGAAAATTTACCAAAGGTAAAATGTCCTTCATCAGACGTGCTGATTGCTCCATCACCTACCTGCCAGATCTACCTGCTCGTGGCACCAGAACGACACCTGTGCATTTCCTCTCAATACCTGCAATTACCTGTATCCTTAATCCAATGGTTCAACAGCGCTAGGTCACACACAGGTAGGGCTAATATTCTTTTCAGAGACTTAAATTATCTAATGACTCGACGTTTACAAATTTTGTGTATACGTGGATTTAAATCATACATATATAAACTACAAAGTATTATATTTATAAAGTACATGTATAGATTTAATTTCTAAATAAACTGGATGTCTATATTTACGTTGTGTGCCTATATAAAACCTACATTTCTAGAAATATTGACGATTGAATGACTTTAATTACATACCGAGTATAAGTCTACATTACATAACAACTAGAAGTCTAAATTACATATTGACTAAATATCTAAATTACATAACGACAAGAATTCTAAATTACATAACGAAGAGAATTCTAAATGTCATAACGGCGAGAAGTCTAAATTACATAACAACTAGAGGTCTAAATAACATAACGACAAGAATTATAATTTACATAACGACTAGAAGTCTAAATTTCATAACAACTAGAGGTCTAAATTACATAACAACTAGAAGTCTAAATTACATAATGACAATAAGTCTAAATTACATAACGACTAGAAGTCTAAAGTTCATCACAACTAATTACATAACGACTGTAAGCCTATAAATCTTGTCAAGGCCCTGTCTTAAATCAAATAACGGCTAGAATTCTAGAATGATCTAAGGTTTCTGTAGACCGGATGTCTACCATTTGCCGTCTCAGAAGATGCCGAGTACACTGCAGATGTAGACGGGTTGTTACGGCTACGATTAGGGTTTGAAGTGTCTGCTGTTATTCCATTAGGTGAGAGGCGGGGGTGACAATTGCCAGAACAAACAGTGATTTGCTCGGCTGGATGGGGTGGGTATGGGGATGGGGTGGGGGTGGGGGTCGGGGAGGGTGTGAGGATGATTTGTTTAGCTGGACGGTGTGATGGTGATGGTAAGTTGTGGTGGACTGGAGTGGTGGGGGTGGGGGAGGGTGTGTGAGGATGATTTGTCTAACTGGATGGGGTAGGGTAGATGGTGATGGTGATGGTACGTTGTGGTGGGTGAGGGTGTGTGGTAGAGGGGGTGGGGATGATTTGCTCGACTGGACGGGGTAAGGTAGATAGTGATGTTATGTTATTGTGGACTGGGGTGTTGGGGTGGGGGAGGGTGTGTGAGGATGATATGTCTAACTGAATGGGGTAGGGTAGATGGTGATGGTAAGTTATGGTGAGGTGGGGGTGAGGGAGGGGGTGAGGATGATTTGCCTTGAATGAAGAATATGTGGATGGTACGTTCTGGTGGGGGTGGGGCTAAGGGTATCAGTGACCGGCTGAATGAAGAATATAATGTTAATATATTATGGGGTAGAAGTGGTGGATGATTTGCTTTGTTTGGTGCTGATAATGTACGGGGGTGGGAGGCAGAGTTTCTTCCAGTCATCTCTTCGCCCCCCCCCCCCCCCCGCGAAGAAAATATAGAAAATATATACTTTTGACAGTGTCCGCGATTTCCGATAACCGGAAGTGGTACTTTTTCTACTTTGAATTTTTCAAAAGCCTATAACTTGAGTACTATTTCAGGTAGATAAATGAAATTTCACAAGTAAGTAAAAGATCTAATTCTCTTCGTTCTGTCAAATTTTGAGTAATTTCCGTTGACGGGAAGTACTAATTTACGCTATTTCCGATTTCTAAAAACGCATCTAAATTTATAAAGTACTAATAATATTGCGCACCATTATGAACATCTTTATTCGGCGTTCGCTTGGTGTGCAATACTTTTTTCTATGAGATTCTATTTTATTTTTAAAAGTTTATGTATTTAAAATGGATTTAAATGTAAAGTACTTTACATGTTTTATTTACAATAGAGTTACATGACTAAAAACCATTGCGCGCCTACTGAACATCACGTTCAGTAGGCGCGAAATGGTTTTTGAACGCAGCCATTACGTGATGGCGCAGCTATTGAAGGTGATGACGCGTGTGGTGTGGTTGGCTAGACATGCCTACTAATCCGGTCCAAATTTTAATTAATTCATTAAAAATCAATTAGGCATCCAATTAAGTCAAATTTAGTTTCAGATTGCATTGTCTTCATGTCTTGACCCACGTGCCAAATGTGAATCGTATCGGTCAAGTAGAAGTTTCCGACCGAATTTTCACTCCTGCGTTTCCATCTAGACTGACGACAGAGGAAGTGAGTTAAATAAAAGCTTGTAAAAAATCATAACTATATCCCGAGTTCCCATCCCCTGTTGTTTTATATAAGAATATTCGAGAAAGTTTAGGGGAGATCACGGTTTATTTTTAAATGAGATTCAATTTTTCCAATTTTGTGGTCTGACCGTTAAAGCTCATGGTTGATAAAGTTAAAAGTATCGAATTCGAACCCCCATGGCTGATGAGACTGAATAGGAGGGAACAGCAACTCTTCTAGGATAGACAACTCCCAAAATCAAACAAACTGCTGCCTTGTAGTTTGTTCTTGGTTGGACAAAGGCTATGGAAGTAAATCCAGAAAGAAATAAAAGCAGACTGAAGTCGGAGTCGACGGCCTTAAAAGCACATAACAGGTTGAAAAGTAAAACTTAATTGTGTTTGGGGAATTCCCGGCAAACAATACGAACGGAAGCGAAGAAGAAATTCCAGTTCCAACATAATATGATTCCTGTTAAATAATTCCGATGATAATTTTACAATAACATTAGTGAACTTCGTGTTATTAGACACCAATAAGGTACAAACTAGAGTGAGCTAGAGCAGGATATTAGAGGAGTTTAAATTGGGAGCTTAATGAAAAAAAAGAGCAAAGGAGCCCCTTGCCCAACAACAAAGACAAACCAAGTCACGGCTACTGTGTTCAATCAGCGACACTGTATAGTGGGTCGGATCATTTGTTGTGAGCGATAAAACACTACCTGTGTTGGGCTAGTCGGTGGTGATGGCTTAATGGATTAGGCCGTGTAGTCAGCCGGGCGTGACGGAGTGATCACCCGAGCATGACGGAGTAATCACACACGTGTGAAAAAAATGGAAGTGAATACTTTGAAGGTGGGGGTCGGGGGGGGGGGGGGGGCTGGATCAGGGAGCAGACAAACTGGAGTAGAGGTAGGGAGAGAAGTAGTGCAGAGTATGTGATATTCATAAGTATATTGATACGCATAAGATGTGGCTTGGTATATCAATAAATAAGACATGTGGATAGCTATAATATGGATATGTATGCCATATGGATAAGTACATGTATAAGATGAGATGTGGTTAGGTATATTGATAAGTATACGATGTGGATAGGTATAAGGATAACATTTGGATATGTATATGAATTAGTATAATATATATATATATATATATATATATATATATATATATATATATATATATATATATATATATATATATATAAATATGTATGTGTGTAGAGAAGTGTTAGATTTATCTACATTCTAAATAGCTAATGAGACGTTGTGGTCGAATGGGAGAGCAAACGACTGCCAACGTGAAAGTCTAGAGTTCGAATCTGGGTTCACTTCTGTAGAGCGTCACCAAGCCCACCCTGATCTGATGGGCACCGGAGTCACGTTGGGGAAAGTAGAGGCGGGTTGGCGTATTGCTTACCACACTATCCTTTTATTTGTCGATATCACAGAAACAGGTGAACTCTACTTCACTTGCCCCATGGACCATCAGGTTCGAAAGGGAACTTAAGTAAGTAAAGATAACTGGGCATAGATCTGACCACACTACCCCTTCATATGCCGAGGTTACAGAAACAGTTATACTTACTTAATTAAGAAGCTTTAGCTTATCACCCAAACTCTTGCGATACTAATCTACTGCGACATCATCAACCCCTCCCCCCCCCCGCACCTACAAATTGCAAACGTTATTCAGACGACATTTTTGCCGCCAGTCTTTAAAGAAGATCGAAAAATGTGGGTGTGTGTGTGGGGGGGGGGGGGGCAAGCAAATGCAACAAATAACGACAATAATAATCTTGAATATGCAAATTATCTATAGCAATTGTAGATCAGAGAATCAGCATTTTTAAATCCAACATAGGTATTGGGATATGTATTGATATGTGAATAAGTATGTTATAAATATGCAGCGAGCTATAAAGTGAATTATAATTTTTTTTTTAAATGCAACCAGCACATCTAAGTGATTCTATTAGTGTTGAAACATACAAAAAAATAAAAGACTTTGAAAAATCTAATGTTTGTGTTAATCTACTTACCGCTATAAATAGAAACTAACACTTCACAGAACT